CCATTACCATTACCTTTAGCGAGTTTATTTACTCTTTCAACTTTATCTTTTGATAGTCTTTCGTTTAATTTTTTCTGAAGTTTTTCGTTACCAAGTTCTAAAATTTTACATGGATGATATTTAAACCCGTTAAATTCTTTTTCCTCAGTTTTAATCATTAATCTACAAAGAACTTTAGTGAGGTGGTTTTGTTGTTTTGTTATAAATTCAATATCCGGAATTAATTCCCAAATTTTTGAATTTTCGATTAATTTACCATCAAATGCAAAAGCAATAATTCATTATATGAAACTGAATAAACTTTATCTTTATCTTTGCATCTTTCATCACTTCCAATATATTTATATTTCAATTTTGATTTATTGGTTTCATATTCATTAACGTTTAATAATTCACAGTCTTCCTTTTTAAATAAATGTTTTATGTATTCAGGATTAACAATTCTATAATATTGCTTCCCTTTAAATCTTTGAATATTGATTCATGGGGTAATAATGAAAATATAGATTATATTAGTTGAGATTATATGTGTGATTTATGAGAAAAATTCAATATGGAATTTCTGACCTGAAGTATATCATACCGAAATGCATCACTAGCAAAAGTGACATTTGGCGCCAATTTTAAATTAGTGGATTTTGTGTTTATTATTTAAAAATATAATTGATAAAATATAATTAACATTAATAGAATAATATGGATAAGATTTGATAAAAAACAATCATAAATTTTTTTTTGGGCGCCATATAGAGAACTATAGTCTGCGAGGTACTGATTCTATCCATGTACCTCGCAGACCATAGTTCTCAGCCAAAATGGCTGAAAATTGCTCACAATTTCAACAATTGTGAGCAATTTTCAGCCGTTTTGGCTAAGAATTGGAGGGTGTGAGTACTATAGCATGTAATAGTATCTCACACCCATCTATTTTATCTGGTTTTACTTGTTGGGTCATTTATGTAAGAATAAAAAATAAATTATTTTAAAAATAACTTTAATTTTTTTAATGGTTTATTTTTTGAAAAAAAAATTATTTTTTATTTCATTATGTATGGGCTGAGTGTAAATGTCTTACAATTTTGAAAATTTTTTAAATCTTGATTTATTCAAAAACGTAAGAATAAAAACCGTCAGAATCATACATTTTTTACTTCATATGTTAAAAAAAATGATACAAAATCGCTCGATATTGTATGAATTCTTACGTTTACAAAAAAAGTCACAAAACCCATCATATCCTACTACTGCTATTATTATACGAATAAATAAATTCATTATATTATTTTTATTTACATAATATCTGTTTGAAGTCCATAAATCTATAAATTTTTCTTCAAAAACATTACAATCTTGATAGTTTTGATACTGTTTAATAGGTTTTTGGCACCTTATTTAGTATTTACTACGTATAGAGTAATTTTCGGAAATTTAAAATATTTATTATAAGTAAAATCTGATTTGAAATTTATGTTTAACTAATATGATGACCTACTGTAATATATTTTTCATTTATTATTTATTCAATTGCTTTTCAATTTATTTTCAAAACCTTATTCAAATTTATTTTATCATTAATATATTTTTATATTATAAATTTATTTAAAACTTATTAAAACATGTTATTACGTTATTAATTTTTACTTTTTCACTTTTATACCCTTTTCAATTTTCTTCTCAAATTTTCAATGCTTCTCAAATATTTCTCGAAGATACCGTAAAAATCTTTGATATGGTAAAAAAGATTCATTCAACTCAAGTAGTTGAATCGATAAACCATATCAAAGCAATGCTTGCTAATAAAAATATTAATTGGCATGCTTCTTGGCCAATTAGGATGGCAGTCACAATATTGCATTTCAATGAAAGTATGTTTGAAACGATTGTAGCAATAAGATACAGGTTAAATTTACCAACAATGCCAGAAATGATGAACAGATATTTCAGAATGTATGATACAACAAAAGAATTTATAAATGATAATAGTATTTCGGATATCACGCAATTTTTTGGTATTTCGTTAATAATTAGATTTATTATTTTGAATTTGTCTGATTCTTCTTTTATTTGTGAATTAAACGATTGAATTATTCCATTATGAATTAAAGGTTATTTTTATATTCATTGGATTTTGTATAGAATTGTAATTATAGTTTGAATGGAAACAATAAAACATTATAGTGATATAAGACATCTTAGAAAAAAAATTGTAATTTGACTATTTCAATATCATAAACACATTTCTATTGTTATAAAAGTCTTAAGTGCTTGTGATCAGACAAATCTGTTTTTCAATAAGACATCTTAGAAAAAAAATTGTAATTTGACTATTTCAATATCATAAACACATTTCTATTGTTATAAAAGTCTTAAGTGCTTGTGATCAGACAAATCTGTTTTTCAATAAGACATCTTAGAAACAAACTTACTTAATTTTTGTTTATTCTATCATTCCCTTACTAAATAAATCTTTAACTTTCCTTCTAGTTATATTTATCTATTCATCATCAATTTATGTTTTTTAACTTTTTTTCATATATATTTTTCTGAATACCTACTGTAATATATTTTTCATTTATTATTTATTCAATTGCTTTTCAATTTATTTTCAAAACCTTATTCAAATTTATTTTATCATTAATATATTTTTATATTATAAATTTATTTAAAACTTATTAAAACATGTTATTACGTTATTAATTTTTACTTTTTCACTTTTATACCCTTTTCAATTTTCTTCTCAAATTTTCAATGCTTCTCAAATATTTCTCCATTCAAATATATCTTTACTAAAAATTTCTTTTTAAAAATCACAAATTCACTTATATTCTTATACGAATCAATCTGTATCATATTACCAAACTTCACAAACACATCTAACTATTCAAATCATTTCAAATTTAAAATCATATAAATTAATATTATGAATATCCTGTTCTTTTCCGAATACCCTTTATTCCCACATTTCAATATATCTCTAAGTATGCAATAGTACCGATAAAACATTAATATCCCTGATATTTTAAAAATGTAATATCTGATCTTTTGATGATTATCGGTATCATATATGTTTATTAGTATTACCATATCTATTATTACATACACTAACAGTATATGACATTTACACTTTTATTAAACCAAAATTCAAAAGAATCTTTTTGCAATTTCGTCCAATATGAAATTAAATCCAATGAAACATACACAACATTCTCCTATATCTTCTGTAGTTGCATATTATATATTCAAACGATTTTTAAATAATGTTTCTATCAAATGTGTAGTGATTCCGTCCCGATTAAAAATTGAGTACTTTCATCCCGATTTATCGGGATAAAATTGAATACTTTTATCCCGATTTCCCGATCAATTCCGATGCCGCCTGGACACACAATTTTTTTTTGAATTTATTTTATAGAAACCTAAAAAAATTTAATTATTAAATTTAAAAGACAAAATTATATAAAATTATTCTCATTTTATATCCAAAAATTTTGATAAAAAAATTATTTTTCAGGAATTCGAATTAAATTTTTCCTAAATGTTAGTCGCCGTTACGGTTTTTTCTTTGGGGGCGAGTTTGCGAGCCCCCAAAAAAAAGAAAAAACCGTAACGGTGAGCTCACATTTCGGCATAGTTTAAGTCTAGGTTTTGTATTTTAAAATGTTTGTTACCTTATCTTCTTTCAAAAAGTGGCAAAAATTTGTTTGAAATTTGAAAAAGATATTTTTATTTGCATAAACAACATTCAACTAAGCTTTAGCATGATTCTTTTGCATGCTCTAGTTTTTTTCTCAGTTCAATCTCCTTCCATGCCTATGCGAATAAAAATTCTTTTTATATTTTAAACAATTTTTTTTCACTTTGGAAGGAGAAAGGTGACTAACATTTTAAAAATACAAAAACCGACTAAACTATTTCAAAATTTTAATTTTAAAAAAAAATATTCTTTTTAGGAAGTATTTAAATATAAAACTTCTCAAAAATAATCTGTATATTTTTTATTTCAATTTCAATAAAATTGCAAGTATCTTTTTTTAAATTCTAATAAAATAAAATTCTGATGCAAATTTTAATCGAAAATTTTGGGGCATACGATTATTTTTTCGAGAGTTAAAAATTAAAAAATTTAGATTATATTTCATGTGTGTATGCTTTTTATTTTTTGACGATAAATTTATCGTACGCCCCAAAATTTTTGCGATTCGCCTTTGAAATCAGAATTGCGAATTCGAATAAAAAAATTATCTCCGTGCCGATAGAAATGAATGAAAAAAATATTACCCCCTAGTTTCTTATCAAAATGTCAGATTTTAACTTTACAAACCATTAGATTTGTAAAGTTTGAAATTGTCAAAACCTTCAATGAGTTCACCTCATATTTTCTCCATGGAGACGTGGAGAAGACAGACTAGTTCAATTTCTCCATGGAGAAGCTTTGGAGACAGGCATTGCCTTCGTTTTCGTGGAAACTTCCTATTGATTTATTTAGATATATTTATTTGCCAATTCTAAATTAAATGTTAAATACTTTCTTTATATCAACATTTAAGTATTTAGGAATATGACTGATATTGAGATGTATTTTTTGCCAATATGAAGTTTACAATTTGTAAAGTGTCTCCAAACTGAAGTTTAGAGTTGGAGAAGATTTTTCTCCATACGAGATCCTTAAATTACAATACTTCAAAACTAATTTCCTGACTGGTCGGGGAAGGTTTTTCCATGCATTTTGTACTCAGAGTCGATGAATTTCATTAGTAATAAGTTAATTGCGTATTTGTCCATGAGAACTCAAATTTATTCACTTAGTATGATCGTTTTAAGACATTCATTCCTCATTCTATAAGAGAATTAATTTCTAAAATTTGTTATCTATGCCAAAATCAAAAATTCTATCGCAAAAATTTGTAGATGATCTATTGTGAGTATATTTTATCGGATCTAAATTTGGCTATTGAATTTTCACAACGAAATTTTTCTTACATTGAATTTAGAATTGACAAATGAGTCATGAATCAGACAAAGAAGCGCAAGAGCCAGATGTTGAAATCAGCAACTCATCTGATACGTCAGACATTAAGTCTGAGCCAGATGCCGTAATTCCAAATCTAGCATCCTATCAAAATGAAGAGGAAGAAACTGACTCTACAACATTAGAGATGCAACCCATATCAGGAAGAATGAAACCAAATAACAGAAAGAATACAATGCCAAAGAAATCAAAATGTTGTCGTATTGTTTAAGACTATTATTTCTTTGACTCGTTTTGATGTGCATACTTGCATCATTTTATATATGTTAAATACCAATGTTTGTTTTTTATTTATAAAATGCTTTTTATTAAAAAAAATCATTTTCCTCTTATTTGATTATAGTCTCAAGGAAGCAAATAGGAGTATTGATATGTTCGATTTCTCAGTTATACAGTATCATAGCTGATGGCCAGGAATATTATTATTTCTAAATTTGTTCGTTCGTATAAGGAATTGTATTAACTATTTGTAGGCTATTATTATTTAAAAGAATGGATGTGGTTTGTTAATTGGTATTTTCCAAAATTATTCCCGTTTGTTTACAAAATTTGAATAGAATTACCATGGTATACAGAATAAATAATAAAAATAATTAATGTTCGAATCTCAGACTGACCATTCTCAACCACTAAGAGAATTTGATGCAATCTTGCATCCAAAGATAGAAGATTTGGTTTCGAGCTATATTGAGAATGAAGGAGATACGAATGACTTAGTTGAATACCTTGCAAACGGATACGTCGGAAAACTTCATAAACTCGATATACTTGGCAGTTTAATGTCAAAGCATGGATATGATTTTAAAGAAATCTTTCGTTCATCTATCAAAAAGAAAGTTTATCAAATGTTTAATCCGGATGTTTTTGATTCTCTTATAAAAGACTCTATGTCACCGCCAGAATGGATCAGCGAAATCATTGAAAGCCCACTTTGGACATCAGTTATGTTTTCTTTGTTAGAAAGATTTCCAAACTCTGAATTTCTGAATTATTGCGTTACTCAAGTATGCTTACGTCATCCTGAGAATGTTTCTGATGTTCCTCCTTATGTGTTAAACCTTGATGCATTTCAAAATGTCATCAGATTTTTAATTGAAAACTGGACTCCAGAAAACAAAGAAAAGTTCATCAAAATCATATCAATAGATCCGAGAACAGCCATGGAAACAGCATTTATTCTCGATCGAAATACACAAATCAGTTTAATACAAGATATCGAACGAAGTCTTTCCAAAAACATTACATATCTCAACGTATTCCAGCGTACGCTAATGAAACTTGATGGTTGGTCATCAACATCTATCGAAGCATACTTCGGAATTGTTCCATTACATCCAGATCACATAGAATCATTCAAAGAGTGTTATAATTTCTCTAATTACTCTAAAGACCTTGTCCACAGGAAGGTTTCTGCCTCATTACTTGATGCAAATGTCTCAAATCAAACAACATTGTCATTAATTTCATTTTTACAAACGATTTCGAGTGAAAACATTGACATACAACTGTATTCACAAGGGATCAACTCATTGAGGCAATGGAGATTCAAAGAAGCAGGCGATCTTTGGTCTGCGTTACAAATCTTGAAGAATTTCATTATTGCTACGAATACTCTTGACATGATGAGGTATTTGGCTAAAAACAATCGTTTAGCTATTGAAGATCGAAATTTAAATCGATCGCCAGAGATTGATGTTATCAAAGAGATCATGTTCTGGCATCCTACACTTCGAATGAAAGCATTTGATGTCTATGTGATGTTATATGAATCAATCAGAGGAAAAACAGATGTTTACCGCATTCTTATGAATAATTTGTATGATAATCTTATTTACATGTTTGGATTTGGTATTTCTATCAAAGTATTGAAGTTCTTGAGAACTAAGAAGGAACCTCTGGACATCGCTCGAGAGAGACAGTTTTATATCAAATTAATTCCATTGTTAAAACCTCCATTTTCTGATGAATTCCTTTTAGAGTTTGCACACACACTTGACTCTAAACGTGTTAGATCTCTTATGTATCCAGCTTCAAACACAAGACCAATTCCGGTCCAAGTCACATTACTCACTTCTGTCATCAATTTCGTGCAGGAATTGAACAGACAGAACATCCTCAAAGGTAAGCCAACAGAAGCAGTTCTATATGATGATATCAGACATGCTGCAAGTAAAGCTCGCCACTAATGATAATAAAAAATGTTTTTTTTTAATGAATTTGACATTTTTTGATTAAATTGGAGTTATTGTTAAAATTCGGGTGTAGAATCGACCAACAATTGAGGGATACTTTTCAACTGATTTCTCACCGAAGTCCTGGATGAAATCATTGCAGTAAGAAATCTTCTAACTGCATCATGAATTTAAATTTAATGTTAAAGGTTTTTGGTCTTAAAGCAATTCCTGATTTTATTAGAACATACTAATAATACGATGAATGAGTCCCTATATTTTGTAATTTCAAATAACAAACCATTATGTATAAAAATGGCAGAAGATATCAAACTAGAATCAGATATGTTTAAAGATGTGGAATTTGGTTATGTCAATTGCAAGAAAAAAAATCTATGCAAGATGATAAAACAAAATTGAATAATCTAGATAAAGTAGTAGATGGATTGGAACAATCTACTGCTGCAAGAAAGTTGTTAATGGACGCAGAATTATCAATGTCTATTAATTTAATAAAATTTGTTCGAAAAGAAGCACCAACCTTCGAAAAAGATATTTCATTTGCAATAGCTCCACTCCAGAAAGTTGTTAAATTAGAAGAATCAGAACTAACTTCAGAAATTCGACTTGCAGAAGATTTAAATGATATAGTTGTTAGAAAAAGAGTAATAACTAGATTAGAACAAGAGCAGAAATCAGCAGCTGATGCATATAAGCAATCCAAACTTGATTTTGAAAATGCAAAACATCTTTTGCAAATGGAATACAATAAAAAATCAACAGGAAAGCAGTTAGAATATGCCGAAGATAAATACAAGCAAGCAAAAACTGCTCGGATTGATGCTTTAGAAAAGTTAAGAGCTTCAACTCAAAAATTACTTGTTGAAAAGTACAGTATACATTGTGCGTCGCCTGTAGCCTACAGCTACAGTCACCGACACAATGAAAAAAGTGACAGAAAACTGACACCATACGGGCGCGCATATGTACGCATATATGTGTAAAAATAAACGTTCATATGTAAACTAACCTTTATTCACTAGCAGGGGCTGATAAATCATAATCGTCGAGAAGTACGATAGGTGGTCCCACCTGTTTAATCTGTATGGAGAGGCAAACGTGACGTAAGAAGCATAACACTGGTTTCTCAGTATATTTAATAGACTCTGCTGTTGGCTTAACTGTAAGCTTATATGTAATAGGTGAATTAGATAACTGACCCTGTTGGAATGTATAATCAGTTTCGCAAGGGAATCCACATAGGTAATGACCTAAGTCATTTGACTCGATTCCAAATTGAGGGACTGATGTGGTTGTGATAGACCTCATGACATCATAGTTGAAGCCAACAGTATCGTTATTATTGTTAGTGGCATTTGCCTGCATCTCATAGAAGATTGGATCATTAGATGCTTGAGCCTCAGCGGGTATGTTACCATATGCTCCACAGTTCAATTGAATTTGTTCAAACAATGGATTTTCATAGGTAGTGTTATAATTAGGTGTTTTCTTAAATAGTGTATAAATGGTGTTCACATATAATGGAGTAAATGCTGCCGTGAATGTACAAGGAGTTCCTTCACCTTTAGCCATTGAACCATCCATAGTAATGCAGTCAATTCTTTTGATTGGGAAGTTTAGAGTCTTTGCCGAATATCTTGTCACCAAATCACTATAGATGTTAGGGTCCAAAGAGAATGAGTTACAGTATGTAATCATTTCAAAGAAGTTTGCATTCTTCTTAGTGAACTTAATAAACTTGGTACCAAATGATATCGTACTCTTATCGGCATTCCAAGTTACAGTATCAATAACTTTGATACCTTCATAGATAGGAGTGAAGTGATTAGTGATTGGAATATAGCTTGTAACATTGGCTTGCATGTTCGGTAATGGTAGAATATCCTGATAACTTAATGGTGTCCAAACCATACCAGCAATACTGAACTTAACCTTAAGTTGTAAGTTACCAGCAAACGCTGGAAGGAATCTAATGTTATTAAGTATTAGGAATCTTCTTAGGTCAATCTTGATTGGTATGTGGAACTTTAATGTAGTTGCACCACTAATTGGTTTATTGAACTCAATAATCTGTCCAGAACGAACTGTATCACATCTATTGAAAACATCTTTATGTCTAGCCTTACTAAATACATCAACTTTCTTAATAGCTTCTGTTGTAGATGCAGTAGAAGTAATGTAACCTTCTTCTCTAGCATTATCTTGTGTATAAACACTTTTACCATTAGCGATTAATTGATATGATTCAACAGCATAGAATGAATCAATGTATCCCAACCAAATTGCTGGAAGATGTGCACATGATTTGCCACCAGCATATTTAGTATCAATTGCTTTAATTGCTGTAACATTTGATCCTGTAGGAGCTGTCTCAACAGCTCTTTCTTTATATACTTCACCATCATATTTAGGAACTTTTTCATCAGCTGGTTCAGTTTCTGTTGTAATTATGCACTCACCATCGACATAACCACTAATGAACGTATTATATAAGTCAATCATGTTCTCACCAGGTGGTGATATGTTAAATGTAATATAACCGTTATCAATAGTATTTGTCGGCATAGCTGGCACTTTTGTTGGGACATATCTATGGTTAGTATCTCCAATAGGAACTGCCCCATCAACTTGATCGAAATAATATCTTACTTGTCTGATGGAATCAGCAATACTGTATGTATTGAGGTTATCGTTCAACATCTTTCTCAGCTATAAAAAATTTACAATCTTCTTATTCTTGGGATTATTCGTCTTATTTGTGGCTGAGGTTTAGGAGGTTCTGGTTCAGGCTCTGGTTCATCATCGAAGTGTATTCTTTTCTCTTCATTGATTGAACATATTCTTGATTCTCTTTAGTTTCCTTCTCACGTTCAATTGGGTCCATGTTTGGTTCATTAACTACACTGTTACGTTCTAATATCTTTGTCATCATCTCTAACAACATTTTATTAGTATATGCTTGTTCTTCTTCTTTCTTCTCATCAACTTTAGGAGCTTCTTGAACAACAGGAGCTGGGGCAGGAGCTGGTGAATTCAATGGTGCCTTTCTCTTTCTAACTTGAACTGAACCATTCTTCATATGACAAACATAATATAATGGATGTTGTATTCCTTTAGCTTCATTCAATATGATTGATTGCTTTTCACTTGGTGAAAGTTTTGACGTCATTTCTATCCTAATAAAATTTTTTACTCCTAACAAAATGACTGAGAATACTTTCGACAGAGAAGCACTCAAGAATGAACTTCGTGAAGAAATACTTAATGAACTCAAACCAAAAGAACAAACACAAGAAGAGAAACCAGCTAAACCAAAGCGTAAACTCACAGAGAAACAATTAGCTGCATTAGCAGCTGGACGCGCAAAGAATCCACGAATGATTGCAAAGAAATTGAGAGAAGAGGAAGAAGCTAAGAAAAATAATAAGTAAGTGTTTAGAACTTTAACTTACGTTCAAAAGATGACTTCGTTGAAATAGTGAAGTCCTTATTTTTGTTGAAGCATGGTTTCGAACCAATGCACAAGTCAAAGGTTATCTCATCACCTTCATAAAGAGATTTGTACAATTCCACGATGCTATATTTTTCCCCAACTTTCTCAGGGAAGAACAAACCTTTCTTCTCGTCATAATGTACTTGTATCGCATCTGGGAACATTTGGTTTGCAGTAAGTGCAATTACGTCCTGTGTGATTCCCTTCATTCGACAGTGGAAAGCAATTTCCTTGAGGTCATTGGTTAATTCGTCGAGGTAAGTCTTCTTTCCAACGAATATAGATCTTTGTGCCTTAGACATATGTCCTGCAGTAATCTCTGCAAAGTCTGAATGAAATTGACCCAGTGCTTTTCCAATGAGTTCTCTGTTATACCTTCTCTTGTATTCTTCTGCTAACTTATCTAAGTCCTTCTCATACAAGTGTAAACTATCTGTATCCTGATAGAACAACTTCAAGCCCAAATCTTCTGCTGTGAAGAATACTTCATTCATGATTCGTTTGGACATAGAAAGGATTGAAACCTAATGGACAATAGTTAAAGTGACGAACGATAGGTTTAAATGACTTTACACATGAAAGTTCGGAATCGGGGATGAACTCTATTGTCTGTATGTCATTATAGTTCTTAATGATATAGTCAGTGAGCTTATTGTCCTTGATGAAACGAATCTTTTTGTCAATGGGCTTTAATATCGTCTTACCATAGATACTGTTCAAAAGAAGTTTGATGATCTCTTGTATCGGATTACCTTCCTTCTTATACTTAGCACGTAATTCGAAGAGCTTCTTAACTTCATTCCTTATTGTCATGTCCCTTTTTCCATCATAATAGTATCCATCAATGACTTTGCATGAGATCTCTTGGAACTTGATCAGATCTTGAAGCGTAATGTGGTCTACGAACATCTTGCAGCATGTATTGGAACTTCTGGCAACATGTAAGTCAGGGTTGATGTCAGGATTGACGACAATCAATGGGAATGCTGAGTTCTTACCGATCGACAAGATCTCGATCTGACAGTAAAATCCTGAGATGAACTTTTCCTTTGTTGGTTCAGCTTGGTCATCATCAAAGAGATGCTCCAACAAGTATTCACTGCTCTTCATCTCTTCTGTCATAACTTTTGGAATTCCTTCTAAACAGTAAAGTCTAGCAATTGCTGATGGATACAATGATACAGCATCGAAGTCAGTGATGAGTTCTCCTTCATTGTATTGCTTCTTGTTCTCAGCTAGCATGCATCTTCCTCCTTGAATACACTTGGAAATATATTCACGAGGTTTTCCTGCAAGATCAAAGAGATTACCGTTCTTCCAATATACTCTCTTCTCAAAGAGTTTGTTTGAGATAGAACTTATTGAAACATAATCATAAGCATCTATTTCAAACTCAGTCATGAGGTCATTGCGGAACTTAAGAAAGCCATCTCGTAAAATGCGTACATCTTGACCGCAATAGAATGACGAATAAACTTCCATGTCAAAGTGTTCATCATCAATCTTGCAATCTTCAATCTTCTCAATGTTCTCATTAAAAGCTTCAATATCTTTGACATGATTCATGGCATCATCGATGTTACCAACTTTAGTTGTATTAACTAACTCTTCCGTGTAGTAATTATATGGGAAAACTTCTTTTTCACCACTAGTGAGGTGAAACATTTCAGGGAATCTTTCCAACTTAGTTGAGATGATTGCATAAGAGTCTTTGAAGCAGAGAAGTTTTCCTTTGTACTTTCCTTGTATCTGCATCGTTTGTGAACCTTTGATGATTGGAGTTCCTGTAATCTCTTCTAACTGAGACATGAGAAAAGTGACATCGTACGATAAGTTGTGGAAATAAACTAAACTCTTATCTGGTAAAGCTTCGAGGAATTTTGACGCACAGTCACTTCCCCAAATTGATGTATAACCATCATCGTCATCTTCCATGAAACAAATGTTGTATGCTTTGTGAATGTTTCCATCAGTTGATGCTTCGAAGTCAGCAAAGAAAACATGTTCTCTTGGGAACTTCATGTCTTTCTTCGTCTCTGAACTCCAATCTTTCTTCATCCTTGCGCAATAACGCTCATTGTATGTGAGGTCAATCATTTCTTCAAGGTTCTCATTATACATCGTTGTGAAGTATGTGCAAAGTTCTCCTGTTCTAATTGGTTCGAAATAATTGTTAGCAAACAAGAGTTCAATGACTTTTGCAAGTGGTGTAACTAACTTTGAGTTAATTGCATACCTTGTTTCATATCTTCTGTTAACTAACATCTTCTTCTCTAAAGTCCAATCCTTGCACAACTTACAAACATCTTCATAGTTCTTGATGAACATTGAACTTATTGGAAGCTTTTCGTTCAACATGTAGTGGTCATACATTAATAAAAGTTCTACTGTCATCTTTGGTTCTTCATCTGGTTCATAAGTATATGAATGATTTGAATACTTCTCGTTGTATTTGATGACATGGAACCTTATTCCTGTTTCTTTGGCAATAACCTTAATCTTTGACATTGGAAAATCTTTGACACGAATGATTTCCCTCATATGATTAATTGTTGCTTCGTCAACACCAGCTTGAATACAAGCGTAGATGAAACATGAATCTTTCATCATCTTCTTTGCTGTCTCTGCATTAAGTTCGTTGAAGATCTGATACCTCTCTAAGTTAATAGGTAATTTGCATGTCCATGTCCAAAGCTGACCATTACGTGACCTGTTTCTCTTCTTTGAATGGTTTTGTTTGATGATCTTGAGTGCGATCTTTTCTTGACCTGCTGCTCTCATCGTATCTAACATAACTTGTTCTTCAGCTGTGAGTTTATATGGTGTGTACGTTCCTTTTCTCAAAGCAGAAGCATCAACATCTGAATAAGCTGTATAGTCAAAGATCTCGATCTTCCTTAACGAAGGAATACTACAAAGGAAGAAGTCATAGTTTGATTCAAGGACTTTAGATGCTAATTCTTGTACTTCTGCTATTGGAGCTTCATTAAGTAACTGATGAACTAATGATCCCATTGTATTGATGTTCAAATGACGCAAAATGTTTCTCTTCTCATCAAAGTCGTAATAGAATGTCCACTTCTGTTTGAAAAGGTCTATCTGTCCAATGAACTTTGCCATAACTCTTGGAAACATCTTGTTGAAGTAATCTTTTCCTCTTGGACTGTATTGGTCAATGTTAAACATAATGAATCTTTCTCCTGCTTTAGTTATTGGGTCTAACCATTTCTCATCAGGAAGTTTTTGACCATTAATGTTCTTAACAACGTAAAAGGCATTCTGTATTTCTTTGTATGCTAATTCGCTCTCATCAATCTTTGGTGGAGGGTCTGAGTATATTGGTTGCATCTCCATTAACGCTCTATTATGAGATCTCTGATCGTGATCTAAAGCAACTGGGGAATTTGAAGCTGGAACATTCATGATACCATTGTAGTCATCATAGAAGCTCTTAGCATTCTTGAAAATATCTGCTACACTTCCTGTACCTCCTTGATTAGTCATGTGATTTTATCCCAAGCATATGGGGATTCTAAATTTTTGTCCCTATCGTTATCCCAATTGAATTTTTTTTTGGAATTTAAAAATTTTTTTTCTCCATGTAAACTTAAATTTTAATTTTTACCACTAAAATGCAATATTTCAACAAATTAATGAGTAATAATATTTTAATTTATAATAAATATTATAAATCTCCTCAATTTAATGTAATTATTGTATTAATTTTTGTTGAAAATATAAAATCTTCAAGTAAATGATGTGAATTTAATATTTTTAGAATGTTGTTTAATTGTACTATATTATGCATGTAAAATTTTGTTACAATACATTTTATATGGGATCCCCATTGCCCAATTGAGAGAAAATTGAGAGGTGGGATTGGGCTAGCCCAATTCAAAATATCCCAGGTGGAAATAAAAAAATTAACAATTCAACATAAAAAAGCATCTTAAATAATAATGATAAAAAGAAATTTTGTATGAATTTCAATCAAATTTGTTTTTATTCAACTTAAGAAATCACTTCATTAATGAAAGAAGTCGGGTTCACAACATATCCCGATCTTGAAACGAAACAACATGTTTTTTTGATGCCCTAAACGGGGGGGGTCGCCAGCAAAAAAAAAGATGTCAAAATTTATCCCAAAAATTTAAAAAAAACGAAGAAAGTGCATCCCAGGGATTATAAAATTTAAGTTTTCACATCTCTATCCTTGATTCTTAATTGCCAGAGCTAATTTATTGGTAATGTCTTTAGCTTTCTTAGGCATTTTGATCCCAAACATATCAAGCATACCTTTCTTATCTTCTGGTGAAAGGTTATTAACTAATCCTTTTATAGCATTGAGCATGTTGGTCTTTTATAACCGATAAAAAAATATACGTTATTTTTTTTTAATCGTCATCGTAATCATAATCGTACGAAGATTCTGTATCATCATCACTGACATCATTGGTTTCTCTAACTTCTGGCTTATCTGGTTTAATCTCTATCACCATAAACATTGGTGACAATAATCGAACAGGCTGATCTTGGAAGTCAACTAAGGTAAACGTAACATTAGTTAGTTCCCATGGAAATGCATCTATCCATGGTGAGGATTCCTTACATATAAGTGGTTTACCAGATATCCAGAACTCATTGATGTTATAACATGTAGATCTGTACATGATCTTTCTTCGATCATCAACTTGGTCAATATTATTGAACCCAGAGATGACAGACATTGATGAACGAAGGTATAACTGATACCCGAAGTTGAGCATAGGTGGTTTTGGCATTTGTAGATAATAATTATGTACAATAGGTAGTTCTATTCCATATGCACCTAAAATAAGATTTGCTCTATGTGAAGCATCTTTTAAATAGACTTTATGTCCTTTGTCCTGTGACGTAAATATAAGTTGATTCGTAGCACTCAGTGAAACTGTTACATTATGTTGACCTTTTTTCTTGTTATAATAATCAAACTGTTTTGTTACAATCTCTTGTAGTTTTGATACAATAGTATCCATATCAAATGAAAGAGCTGACTTAAATGTACACACCTTTTCTTCTCCATCTTCGTCTAACTGTAAGACAAAATAATCTGTTTCGTCACAAACAATAAAGTTCGCCATAGTACTGACACTTTTTACTCTCATCTTTATCTTACTTGGATGCCCCATGTTAGGATCTGCTTGAAACTGTATTGTCCCGTAGTTATTAGGATCAGTCGATTGTAGATAATACATCATTTTTATATGTAGTAAAAGAATGAGTGTTGTTCCATATGCATATGAATGTTATAAGTCTAGCGTACTTCAATATAAAGAATATACTCTCAGAATTACTGATAATGCTTTAGTCATACATAAAGAAGGTGCTGATGAAGACATTACCATCGGTCCTGGTATATTACCTATCGAGCAACCAGATGGTACAATTGTTGAAACAGACTTAAATCAATACCTTCAAGCGTTACAGAATCGTGTGACAAAAGTAGAGAATAATTACTTAGATGCTCCATTCTTCACAACTGATAGAGATTATATGTTTTCATGTATGGCGAGTAATGGTTTGCAAGAAACTCGTGAGGTAAATATTAATGAAGCATTAGAGACTATAATATATCATGTTAAACGGTTATTATCGATTGACCATGGAGTTCATTTTGACCCAAGGTCTACACTGTTCAATATACCAATGATTGAAAACAGTCAATTAACATTTAAAGAAGATACATTGTATAATGCTTTAAACGCAGCATTTGCTTATATATTAGGTCATGAACAAGTACAAAATAGTGGTATTGCAATATACTTAGATAAAGTTATGTTAAAGAAACCATTGACATTCACAGAAGATGGTCCAAAAGCAACTGGTATTGTTGGTGATGGAACATTATTGACGAAAGAATACTTAGCAAGTCATGTCGGAGAATTTTTCTCCACTAATGATAGCATCAGTACAACACCAGAAGTTATTTTATTGAAGAAACCAATCACATTTGATGTTAAAGGAAAGACAAAAGCAACTGGTATAGCTGGCGATGGAGTTCTTCTGACTAAGGAATACTTGAAGAAAAATATCAATGACTTCGTTGAAATTGTCAAAGATAAAGAATCTGGTCTTAAGTTCAACCCTTTATCATTCATCTTTGCCATAGCAAACGCCGGTGCTACTGCAGCCTCATGGATATCACTCCAGAGTCAAATAAATGCTCTTTGGGCTTTTGTTGAAAGTCAAGAAGGTATAGATACTGTTCTTGACACTCTGGGTAATCTTGGTCCAAATCATAAAGGAGGTTTTGTGGATGGAATAAAAAATTTAGTTGAAAAGACTAAAACAAGTTTCCAGAAGATAACTCATATAGAAAGATTCAGAAATGAAGGTTATATGGAACTTGAGAGTTTTGATGTGACTGGACCTTTGGAACCAATTCCAATGCCACGTGATGCTAATGATGAAGAAGAGAAAGATCCTGGACCAAAAACAATCATTTCTACGTTAAGTACTTTGTACCCTGATTTTGTGACCTTAGTGAAAGTTGCTAATACATCAAGAAAGAACAATAATATTAATATGTCTGGTACTGATGACCTTACTGATTATCTTTATCTCATTCTTGCTGAATTAGCGAAGAAAGTTGAGGAGAACAAAAATAATGGAGGAAGAACTGCACTTAAGATTGCAGACAAAGCTGACAAAAGTTATGTTGACGAAGAGATACGTAAAGTTGCATCTAAAGAATATACTTTATCACAGTCTGTCATACTTAAGACAATCAAAGGTCCAGAGAAAGATATGTACCCAGGTGATGGTACAACAGTTAAAGTTAATGAAAGAGTTTCATTCCCATCTGGTATTGATACAAAAGAAGTATATATTAATGGTGAAAACATCAATACAACATTGTTTCCTTTGAAAAATAATGAGTTCACTGAACCTTTGACAGTTAAATCAATTCGTTCAAGAGAAGACAAACCTGTTATAATCAATAAAATAGGAGCTGATAATGACCAACCAGTTCAAATCAAGAAAATAAGAGCTGATGACATTATCTTGAACTATACTTTAGGTTCAAGTGCTCCACAAGAAGATCCAAGCACTAGCGTAAAAGATACTCTTAACAGTTTAGATAGTAAATGTACGAACATTGAAGGTCATGCCAGAAACTTCGAAGTATATGAACTACCAGCAATGTTAGATAAGAAAGCTGACAAGAACCATGTTCATTATATAAGTTCAGATGAACAGATTATAACGGACTACCACGGATATTTAACACAGGGTGAAAAAGTGAATACGAAAAATGTTAATGAAAGAAGATATAAATTCATTCGTGCTAAAGGTTATGACATACACTGTACTGTACAGTATGACACAGGTATAGCACCACAATCATTTGGTTATAACGCTGAAATTTATGCTTCATACTTCTTTGTTAACGGTGTATTAGTTGAGCCAAGATTTAGGTTGAGAGTTAAGGCAAAAATAACCGTTGAAGATGCTATTAAAAGTAAAGCTGACAAAGATGAACTTGACGCAACGAACAAAGTTTTGAAATCTCATAAACACAATATCTCCGACATAAATTCACTTCAAACTTCTTTAGACAACAAAGCAGACAAAACTTATGTTAATGAACAGATCTCAAAGATCTCTAATGCATCTGTAAACAATGGAATACCTGAAAGCATTACAGTTAGCTTTGGTAATAATGATATGGGTAAAGTTGCAATATTTATAAATTATAACATTGGTCCATCAGAAAAAGGTCCAAGTTACTATACATTGAGTCATGGTAAATCTATTGAACTTGTGTTCCACAAAAAAGATGGAACAAACTTAACTATTCATCCTGGAGATACGTTTGAGTTTTATTTGAACGATGTCACCACAGTAGATTATACTTATAGACCTTCTAACATGTTTGACATGATGTATCCAATTGGTTCTATATTTACATCAATGAGCTCAACAAGCCCGCAAACCCTTTATGGAGGTGTTTGGCAACCGATTGTTGATCAGTTTCTTTACTGTTCTAACTCATCAATGGACTTTGGTGGTTCAAAGACTATCAGAGTTGAAAACCTTCCACCACACTCCCATAGGTTCAGTGCAACAACATCTACTAATGGAGAGCATTCACATTCAATGACAAAAAGAGGTTATACAAATCTTGCAGCAGGTTCTGATAGACAAGGTATGAATAGATATGATATCACAGATGACCCTAGAGATGTTAGTACAGGTATTTTCTGCGGATCTGCAGGAAACCATACTCACACAGTAGCTGGAATCACAGATGCAACAGGAAAAGGTCAAGACTTCTTACCACCATTTATGACTGTATTCGCTTGGTTCAGAGCTGCTTAACTCAAGATCACGATCACAAACTGTTTCTCAGTATGAATGAGTAGCTCTATTTTTACATCATTACTGAAGTATTTCTTTTCTTCATCAATGACAGAAAGAATGTTTTCATCATCTTTTAAAGATCTTACCAAAGTTAGATCTTC